GTAGGGAAATTTAGCAATATCAAAATTAAAATTGCAAATTTTTTCACTTTTTTATTTCTAAGAATTTATCCTCATATATGTGCTCAAAGATGTATATATGAAGGTATTCAGAGCAGTACTGTTTGTGGGAGAAAAACATCTATCAGTGGAGGACTAATTAAATATATTATGATGCATCAATCAAAGGAATATTGTATGGTCATTAAGAAGAATTAGGCCTGGGCTTCCCTGGTGGCGCAGTGGTTGAGAGTCTGCCTGCCGATGCAGGGGACGCAGGTTTGTGCCCCGGTCCGGGAAGATCCCACATTGCCGCGCAGCGGCTGGGCCCGTGAGCCATGGCCGCTGAGCCTGCGCGTCCGGAGCCTGTGCTCTGCAGCGGGAGAGGCCACAACAGTGAGAGGCCCGCGTACCGCAAAAAAAAAAAAAAAAAAAAATTAGGCAACGCTAACCACATGTATATGGGATGATCTTTAAGATATATCACTGAAGCAGCTCCCTGGTTGGGACTCAGCACTTTCACCACCGGGGCCTGGGTTTGATTCCTGATTGGGGAACTAAGACCCCAGAAGCTGCACAGCACGGCCAAAAAAAAAAAAAAGAAAAAAAGAAAAAAAGAAAAAAGATATATCATTGAATGAAAAATGGCAAATTTAAAACATTGTGACTATTAGCAACACACACGCCCACAAAGTTTATATTCGAGTGGCCTGGAATGTCTTTGGAAGAATTCCCAGGAAATAGAGAACAGGGTCGTTTCTGGACAGAATAGCCAGGGATTAAGGGCCAGAGGTTAGAGGAAGATTATTTTTTTGAAAATTTTACTGTGGGCATGTATTATCTTTCAAAAAACCTGGGGTTACCATTTGAAACTCTGGAATTACACTTAAAAATCTGAGTTTTTGGCTTCTCTTGAAAAACGAGATGATCTGCAAGTGCTGGGCCTGTAAATATGCAGTGAGACAAGAGCTGGAGCTGAGCTGGGTGCCCCTGTGACTGGGCTGCTCACCAGCAGGGCGGGCCGGGCAGCAAGGGGCTGAGCCCAGGTGTCCCGAGCCCCCAGCCTCAGCTTCCACTTGTCACTTCAAGATACCAGGGGCCAGGGCTATGGGCAGGGGCTTCCCTCCCTGCACCCCAAGGGGCTCACTCACCCACGGCTTGGTAGAGGGCCAGGAAGCCCTTGTGGCGGCCCGGGGTCCTGTCCTCAGAGGCGGGTGCACGGAAGGTCAGCCGCAAACTGTTCCCCAAGGACACAAACTCTCTCTGACCAGGGGGGCTGCCCAGCAGCGAGCCCTGCTGCCCACAGAACCGGCTGGGATCCATTCCACTGGCTGTGATCTGAAAGGGGAGGGGGGGCAGGCAGGTGTGGGGTGAATCTGCACCACAGGTGGTCACAGGATCATGCCGCAGCCTGGAGCCCAGCTCCGCCTTGAAGGTCTACGTACCGCTGGGGCTCAGAAACCCCATGGAGCCTTCCTCAAGTTGCTTCCTGCTCCATTACTGGCTCCCAGGTTTCTTCCATCCATGACCAGATACCTAGCAGATTTCTTTAGCCTGCCATGCTTATCTCATACAGCCCACAATATTTCAAGAATTGAAATAGAAACTTATAATAACTGGATTATAAGTTCTAAGAAGGCAGGAACTACATCTATTTTGCTCCCCACTGAGTCCCTGATGCTCAACCTGGTACCTACAGCATCACAGCTTTGAATCAATGAATATGCAGACGTAAGTCCCTCCCGTCCGGCTTCGTCCACCTCCATCACATTTCACTTCTCTGAGTAACTTCCTATGGCCAACATCTGAGAAGCGAGAAGACCCTCTGCACAGACTGAGCCCCTGGGGTTCCTGGCCTTCCCTGTTGTCCTTCTTTTGGAGTGTCTCTCCTCTTACCCCACGAACTATAAATGAAGCCCTCGCAAGGTATGGAAACTAAGGACACAAAATGTACACGGTGTGGTTACACTGTTTACTGTTGCCTAACTTAAATCAAAACCCTGCTCAAATGCCTTTCTATGGGTTCCCCAACCCAAGGAAGGGCACCTTGGAAGGAGTTCCCCTGGCCACCGTTTCATGTTTAATCTCTCTCCCGGGCATACAGCTCACTGCTCAACTCATTTTATTGCTGACTTTCATATTGATCCACATATCCTGGGTTCTTGCTGGCTCTTCATTCCTTCATTCTCCCCAGATCTTAGTTTCCTCTCCTATAAAATGGTCTGTTGAGGCCCCTTCCAGCCAGGACACCACTGTGTCCTAGGGCAGCTCTCCAGTATCTGCAGAAAAGCAGTGGGGAAAGTGATACCAAATACCCGCTCATTCAGAAATCACTGTGTTGTGTGTCCTACACGCGTGACAAGCTTGGATTTCATGCATTCTTTCCTTTATTCCTTTGACAAACAGCTGTTTATTATGTTCTGTGTGGGAGATGCTGTGCTAGGTGCTGGGGATACAGCACCATGTGAATTAAGACACAGTTCTGCTACCGAGGAGACCAGAATCTGGCTGAGGGTACTGACGGGCAAAAGATGAACTAGGTTACAGTGTGTTGAATTCTGCATTCGAGATGTGTGTGCGTGCGCGTGCGTGCATGGGTGTGCGCGCGTGTGTGTGTGCGTGCGTGTGCGCGTGCATGCGTGTGTGTGTGATTTACTCTGGAAGCAGGAAGGAGGGAACGATCCTATTCCTGAGCTCGAACTCTGTCAGTGACAAGGGAAGAGTCAGGCTGGGATTAAAATTATTCAAGGCTAAGGAGAACAGGGCACTGTAGGTGTTTGACAGACATAGGCTGAGTTGAATAAAGTGTAGTCCAGACTTCAGCTAAATCTGAAGAAATAAATACATGCATTTATCTCCTCTCCCACCTCAAATCCCACTAGTAGGACAGCAGAGGGATAAAAATGGATACGTTATCAAGGACAAAAAGGTGAGGGGAGGTGATAGCTGCTGAGAGATGCCCACAACATTTGGAAGGTGGAGTGGAGATGGACACATGTAACCTGAGTCTTGGGCTGGGGCAACAGAAAGCAGCAGGTTCCGATCACAGATCCCTGGGAGGTGTCAGAACCGGCGTAAGCAGGAGACGGGAGGATACCTCTGAAGAAACCGGCTGTCACCAGAGAACACCCTTCTGCTGTGGATGTGCAGGAGGCCCCCAGCAGTACATCTGGGTCACCTCGTGGGTAACCCGATTTTCAAACCTGTCGTCTGACAGATTTCAGCTATCCACACAGAGCATCCAAGAGCGCTCTGCACGTCATTCTTAAATATGAATGGACAGCCAAGGATTACCACACATTGCAGGAAAGTCTCCAACATGAAAAGCAGAGGCCAGAACAAATGAACGGTACAAAGGAACTTGGTGAAGAATAGAGAATACAGGGAGCAGAGAAATGTTTTAAAATAATCCCAGTAGAGGGAAAAGAGTAGATATTGCCTCTACGAAACAAGAACAAGATTCTACAAAAACGCACGTTTAGAAAATTAGAATGAACCTTTAGATATGGAAAAATGTTAGCAGAAAAAAAAAATCATTAAAAAGTTGGTATTTACAATGAGGTCTCCCACAAAGTGGAACAAAAAGACAAAGAGATGGAAAACAGAACAGAATGGATAACAAAACTGGATAATCTGTCCAGAACCTAACAACAGTGAAATTATAGAAGTTCCAGAAGGAGAAAGTCAAGCAGATGTGTCTGGAAATGATTTAAAAATTAATACAAGAACTTTCTCAAATTGAAGGGTCTTGATTAAGAGAGTCTCTGGATTAAAAGAACCCTGTACAGGGGCTTCCCTGGTGGCGCAGTGGTTGAGAGTCCGCCTGCCGATGCAGGGG